ACTTATCCATTTATTTCCAAACAAGGTTGTGTTGCTGCTTGTAACATTCACTGATGCCTGTGAAAGCTACAATTCCGCATGAATAAAAATATAAACAGACTTCTTTAAAACCACCCAATGTTCTATTCAAAGACAATAGATAATAACCCAGCTCTGCAAATGAGAGAGCCACATTCAAAATCTATATTTAAAAACAAAGCCATATAAAATGAGAAGTGCACTCTGGATAGGAAGGAGTCTCTATAACTTTCAAAAAAAAAACAAAACCTTTTCTTCTTTAATCCATGATATTATACAACATTGCAGCAGAAAAAAAAGCACACCTTGATCATAGTGTATAATTATTCTTAAAGAAAAAGAGAACATTTTCACACATAAAGATTACAAAAGTAAATTCTCTAAAGATAAACTGCATCCCAGAAAAAGGGCAAGTAAGAAACTACTCTGGATACACCCACCAGTTGCAGGAAAAATAGCTATAATTTATTTTACTTTCTCTGTCAAAAAGACTATTCAGTTCAAATTGCAGTCACCCAAGGGAAGTACACCTGCCATCAGCAAGAAAACCACAAGCCATTGGGAAGATGCATCCTATATTCTTGTAAATGTATTCACTGCCTTCCCCATTAAATAAAGCCACCAGTCCTTCGTGTTACCTGATATTGCTCTTCTCATTGGGACATGAAGTCCTATCACTTAAGCACTGAGGTTTCCAACAGACTAGAAAATTCTCTAAAGTTTAGGAGAAAAAGCCAAAACACAACTGCTTCTCTTCCTTAATCATCCCTTGCTTTGGCCACTTATATATCTCGGAGGACCTCTCATGGACTATGAATGCTAACGTGCTTGTGAAGAAGGCACAGAAGAGGCTGTACTTCCTGAGAATGCTCAGGAAGATAAATCTATCTCAGCATCTACTTCTGTCCTACTATCACAGCACCATTGAGTGTGTCCTGACATACAGCATTCTTGCATGGTATGGGAGCAGCTCTGTAGCGGACAAAAAGTGCTCTACAGAGAATTATTAAAACTGGCCAGAATATCATCGGACTCCAGCTACCAGCCCTGGCCGACATCTTTGAATCTCGCTGTTTGAGAAAGTTGCATAACATACTCAGAGACTCTTCCCATCCTGCTTACAATCTTTTTGGACTGTTGCCTTCTGGCAGAAAATACAGAACAATTAAAACTCGGACCACACATTTTCTGAATAGTTTTTATCCCAGAGCTATAATTGCACTCAACAATGAACTAAAGGGCCACCATCAGTGAGCTGTTGGACAGTATTACTTGGTCTGTTGTGTGTGTCAGCATTCTGATGCTGCCATAAAAAGACGAGGCTTGACTTGAGTGGTTTAGGGGTGGGGAATTGTGGTGGGTGGGAGTGTGTTTGGGGATTGTTATGTGTGTTGGACCTGGTCTTTGGGTGTTAAGTGAATTTCATTGTATGGGTATACTGTGTATACCCATACAATGACAATAAAATTATTTATTTATTTATTTAAGTACCAGTGCATTTTTGAGGACAGATGTACATAAATGTTATTTGCTGAACTGAACATAGGCACTTTCAATGAAAGCTCTGTTTTCAAAGGCTGCAAAACCTGAAAGACTATCAAATACCTCAAATGAAATGGTTGATGGGTTGCATGCTGTTGAGTGAACAACAGATGGTTCAGATTTGCCAGCATAGATATAAACTAAATTTGCCAGCATAAACTAGCAACCACCATGATGATTCACACTTCTGTCTTTTTTAGACTGTTGACTCTTTACTTCCAGGACATACTAATCTCCTAAACCTTTAGCAAATCTTTCTGGCCCTCATGCTGGTTTCTTAATGTACAGAATTGCATTTGGCTTTGATTGAAAATTACAAAGCAGAATTTGATTTGGTTTCATTCTACCTTAGCTGTTGCAGTGTTCACCGACTTGCAAATATCATTCACAAACAGGGCATTGTCTTCATTGTTTCAGAGATCAACTGCTATAATAAAGCTAGGTGGTATATTCTAACCCCAATAAGCAAAGTCCCTTGTATTGATTTTTCTTTAGCCTTGGAAACTACAGAAAGCCATATCTTTTCCAGAATCAAATTCATTGAAACACAAATACAGGGACTCAAAGGGCTGCTGCATCTTTTGGTTTACTTAAATGGAATACGAGGCTGTGCTCTCCACATCATTACAGAATACCGGCGTTCATTAAACACATGCATGGAATAATGTTTTAGCGTTCATCGAGCTCCTTTTCTTCTTTAAATGAGATGTACCCTTGGAAACATGAGTGCTTTTTTCATCTAATAACAGCCTGTTAAGATAATGGATAATAATAGGGTGCGGTGAATGTCACATCACTGTTTCTAATTCACATTCTAATACATATTCTTGACATTCAATCTACCCCACATTTAGCTTCCCTCACATGATTTCCATTAACTGCAAATGATTTTGAATCAGATCTAAGAAGGATTGCCACATCTATTTTGGACAATATTTTTAGTGAAGCTGAAAACAGAGACCTTCTATGCGCACATACTTTGAAGTATGACAAAATTATCATTACTCCAAAAAGGAACATCAGAAAGGAAAGGTACTCATATTTCCCCCAGTCACTAATTCTAGCTACTCACAAACTTTTATCTCTGAAACTCCCTTATATGGCTTACAAATGTTCAGCTTTGGAACCAGATGTCTTCCATAGCTAGAGATAACATTTGACATGTTTTCTTTGCCAAACATTATAGAGTCACCTGTTACTGCAGATTTTAAAAGAATGTTTAGTCTTCAACTAGTGTAAATCTCTCATGTATCAACCAGGTGACAATGATAATTATCATTAAGAATCCTGTCATTTTTCTGAATTTCAAATTATCCAGGTGTTTTCCATTAGACCTATGTTCCATTGTCAGGAAATTTTAGACCACATCTTTTAGCATACCCCACTTCCTAGAGTGGGTTTTATTTTTGAGTAGACATGTTTTGGACTAAATCATGCTTCTATTAAACAGCATTTTAATTTTTGTTAAAAACCCATTAGTCCAAGTTTTCTATTACGTGACCCATTTCTTCAAATTACTTAATGGAAGCTTGTACAACAGGGTATGGAAAGATTACTGCAGTTTAGCTATTTAAGATTAGCTAGCACTTAAGCAATACTGCACCTGGCCCAAAAATATCTAAACAGAAAGGCCACTTAAAAATACTTAAGGCAAACCTTTAAGCCTCCAATTTCTCATCTCTAAAAAGATAATCATAATACATATGTCCAAAGAAAGTCTGATAAAACAACACAATTCCTTCTCCTAAATCAAGTTCAGGTCCTGTGCATATAATCCCCAAGATTATGATTGCTACACTATTTTTATAGGCATTTTAATTATTGTTCTAATTGTATTTATTGAATTGCGCTTATATCTTAACTTCCTTCCAAAGAGATCAGAACAATGCAGTTTCACATGCACTCCTTCACATTATTTTCAGGGCATGAAAGGATGAAGTCAGGATGACCAAAGTTTATATCCACAGCTGCTTTATCAAGTGAAATTTTGAAAGGGATTTCTCCAGCTTTGAACTGACACTCTTCAGACCATCACGCTAATTATTCTCCAGAAGAAAGTAACTCTGTTCATATAATCTTTGTTAGAGTCAAATAATGAATACAATCATGCTGACCGACTCTTCTTCCATCACCTTGTCCATTGGGAGACCACAAGAGTTCAGTGAATGCTAGAAATACCCAACCTTCCTTCTCCCGGTGAACAAGCTCATATCCTTGCTGGTCAGGAGCTTCTGGCACAGTCCAAACCTGAACCAAAAGGTCCTAATATATCATGTGCCTTCAAACTGTAGTCCTAGTTGCAAATGTATGTAATATCTTTAATAAAAATATGTTTTATAGTGGAGAGATTATAAAGTAGAAGATATATATATATATAAAAAACAAATTAAGGACCCAACAGAATTGCAGCATTTCTTCTGCAGAACTAGATTAGTCTAGGGAAAAAAAATTGCTATTTCATTTGGACTGTCAGAGATACATCCTGGATAATAGACCAACTTCCAGGATACAAAGGTCCTTATATATGGTCTGTTTATAGGGTCTTTTGAGGCAATTTTATGGGCAACTCATCTATGTATGAATTGGATGGCCAAATAAATTTTTTTAAAAATTCAATAATTCCACCTCTATCTTCTTAGGAACCCTTTAATAGGAATAGATAAAAGAGGGGAGAAGTAATGAGAAAACCTGAAAGGGCTCTAAAAGGAATGTGATGTGATGAAGACCCCTGTAAAATATCATGAATGAGGCAAGGTACTTGTGAGGGAAAAGCTTTATCTGGAAATACAATCACCCTGGGCTGATTCCCTGCCTAGCTGCCTAACCAGTCTTACAAGGATATACTGTAGTTTCCACCAAGGCTGCAATGACTGCAATACTGATGTCCTATTGTTATCCCTTAAAGTTACAAATGTCCCAAGTGTGCAGCAACCTACACATTGCAAAGACTATATAGCCCATGGCGGCTCTGTCTGTCAGCCAGTTACCAACAAGTAGTAGTGCACGCTAAATGTAACCAAACAATAATATTTACATTCTGTGAGTTTGAACATTAAAACCACCAACCCTTTTAAGGAAGGTAGCAACTTAGTCCTTTTTCAATTCTGGGTTGCCGTGATGTAAGTATACATCTTCCCCAAGTCCAGTAAATTCAATGGAATTTACAACCAGGTGGGGAGTGCCATCTTATAACAACATTACACAAATGAAATGTTTAGGATTTAGTTCTTTTTCTCTCTCTCTCCCATGCGTATCTACAATTGCATCAGATTACCTGGGTCAAAAAGGGACGCCTTAAAACCCCAATAATCAGATATAAAACATATCTCGAACCCTAGAGGAAGCTTTTTTTCCCCCTAAGGGGAAAAAAAACCCGACTGCATCATAAACCATCAGTAGAGTTGGAAGAAGTTAAAGAGTGCTCCGGGGGGGGTCTTTACCTCGGAATAGACGTAAAGAGGCAGCACCAAGATGGCTAAAAGGAGGTCGGCCACGGCGAGGCTGACGATGAAGTAATTGGTGGTGGTCTTCAGCGCTTTCTCCGTGCAGACGCTGAGGCAGACCAGCAAGTTCCCGCTGATGATAAAGAGGATGAGGAAGATTCCCAAGACCAAGGCGGCGTAGTTGCGGGCCGGATCCTGTTCAGGAGGAGGGTGGGTGCTGTTGGAAGAGAGGTCTTCCGTGCTGTTGGCCCCCATGGCCCTCTCCCGCCCAAGCGCCTTCTCGCCTGCCTTCTTGCCTTCCGCGGTTGGGTTGCAAAGCGGCCGCCCACCTCGCCCGGTGGAAGAGCAACGGTCCGGCTCGAACTTGGCCGGCGATAAGAGTCACCTTTCCCGGCAACTGGGCTGGCGGGAGTCAGTCCCCAGGCTGCCCCACTCCATCTCCGAAACGACCGAGCCGCTGTGCCCCGACTCAACCCAAGGCGGTCTACTACTCCCGCCGCCGCTGCTGGGTGGGAGTGATCGGGGGTGGGTGGGAAGGAGAGCTTCGCCCTAGCAGCCCTTCCCGGAACTTGTCTTAAGTTAAAAATTGTCACCCTTCGCCCATTCCACGCCCATTCCGCCCCTTAGCCGGGCGCGGTCCAAACTAAACACCACCACCACCACCCTCGAGTTCTGCGGGGCTCACTCCGGGCGCCACCCGAGACCGCCCTTCCGCACGCCCGAAAGAAAAAGGGGAGAAGAGCTGGCGTGGCCCTCTGGAATTCTTGCCGACTTTTCCTCGCTTCTGCTTATACGGGCAGGCGGGCCAGCCTTGCACGGCGTCGGCGCCACAAGTGGGTCGCCTCCAAGAGGAAAGTAAGCTGATTAGGGCGGGGGGCGGGAAGGAGTGGGGAGAGAGAAAGTCCTGCTGCGGAGCTGGAAGGCCCGGCCGGTTCGCTTAGCCAATCAGCAGCGGCCTTAGGTGCAGATGGGACGACCGGCGGACCTTCCCGAGTCGCCTCAACGCCCGACGCGAGTTCGCGCCCAAATTCGCCTCCCTCTCCCTCCAGCCTAACTCTGACAGACGGAGGCGCGCTGGTGCTCCGGGGAGATTCCTCCAGGACGGAGGGCCGCGCCTTTCCCCGTCAAAGAGCGAGGAAGCTGTTGCTTTTCCAGACAGGCGCCCCCTGACAATGGTTCTGCGAGCCGGGTGACCGCTCCCGCCACGTGGTAGCCGCCAAGCACGAAGACTTCTGCCTCGGCGCGGGTGCGCAAACGAGCGGAAAGGGGCTGCTGAGCTGAAGGAGACGGAGGAAATCCGAACATAAATAGGTTTCCCCGCTCCGAGTGTGAAGTTCGCGTGGACAAAAGAGAGGCAACATTCCTGCTTTGGAATTAGTCTTCCGAAAATGCCAAGGGAGGGAGGAGCAGGTCGGCTACAGGATGGAAGAAGATGGGGCTCTCAACTGCCTTTCTTTAGGAATCTCGACGACGCTCATCCTTAAAAAGCAGGGCAGCATTTGGCCCGGCCCTGCCAGATGATACTGCGGCGTGTGTGTGTGTGTTTTTTTTTAAGAGTTAAGCAACTTTCTTAGTCCAGATATGAGCCGTGAAAAAGAGGCTCCGTACCGACCCCTCCCAGATGCGGGGGAGCAATTGTGGGGCGCCGATGTGGCATTACTGTCGATTAACTTTGGACACGGCGATCAGGGGGCTCATTGAGGTAGTAGTTATCAGGGGAAGAGGATAACACAGGTTTTGTAGATCCATGGGCTTGGCACTGTGCAAAAGATTTGTTCCACCTGGTCACATGGTGATGCAGAAAATGGGGAAAACTCTCCCATTTTCTAGAATTTGCTCAACTGCCCAGGCTTGTGGGGCTCCATCAGAACATTGACATTCACGAGCAAAGGGCTCTTGGTCAGTTTGTGAATCTTTCCAGTTAACCAATTCTGAGGTAGAAAAAAAAAAAAAGAAATATTCCAAATGGAAAAATAAAATATTCCTATAATATAGTCCAGGCTGAAATTTGTTGTGGGTTTCGTTCCTGGATAGAATCAGGTGGTTATTTCTAAGCAAGTCAGAATAGGGTTGAAGATGTTAGGCCACCAATTATAATTCTGTAATCCCAAATCTTGTGGCTCCTTCAGAAAGTACCCTTGAACGTGAGGAAGGAATAGTGCTTATGCAGACGAACCTGCATATCATCACCAAAGACAAAATGCCTTTTCCCCCAGAATAATTGTTTTATTCATATGTAGATTTAATTAATTATAACTCGTGATTACAATTATCTTTTAAGTGTTTCATCGAGTGGCAGGCCTAAATCATATTTTAGTTTTTAAAAGGCTTCTTGATTTAATTCATCATGCCTCTATTAAAACTCCACTTTTTTTTTACATTGACTGATTTCTAGATGATCTCAGAATCAGCATTTGATTGAAACATCTTTTAGGTGTTTAATTAATAATAGTCTTAAGGAGAAATGAGAGATAAAGTGTCATTCAGAAACTTTTTGTGACACCAGTACATTTGATGCATAAGGGAAGAGCAGAAGTGCCTGAAGAAAATTTGCTTTCCAGTATTACCAGAGAATTGGTCCAGTTTGCCCAGTGCACTAGCCAAAGTATGATTTACTTGATTTTGGCTTAGTATGATATTAGACTCATCTTTTATTCTGATCCATGCCTTACCATGTAAATATCAATTCAGTTAGTTGTGCTTTATTTAAACTGTGACTAAATGTAACCTGAACGGAAGATTGGTTTTATTTTTCTCCAAATAATTTTCCTTTAAAATAGGAGCATTTTAGAATTCTTATGTCTATCTTCATGGAAGGCAGATAAGTTTATTTTTATTTTCTGATATTCCAGTTTTGAGTAGTCTAAACTCAGTAACACTATTAATTATCCTTTAAGAAAAAACAACAAAATAGAATATTATGATCTTAAAACTAACAGAACAGTCTCATTTTAAATAACCATTCTTGTGTTCATTAACAGAATTATAAAAAATTACATGCAAATATAATTAATTTTATGTACATTTTTATTGAGTCAAAAATTTGTATCCTGCTCTTGTAAATTACATCTAATGAAGATATCATTGCTTCTAATTTTTTTTTAGAAACACTGAATTCGCATTTGGATGGCCTTAATCATCAGTGCTGAAAAGTTCTATCTTTCCTCTATTTAAATCCTGGGGGAAATGCTGAATGACACTCTGAGAAATAAACTGCCTCTTTAAAACTGATTATCAAAGGGATATTGGAGCCAAAATAGATTACTTGATAGCAAACAGAAAATATGCTTCTTTATAAGCAGCACCACAGGGGTAATGATTTCCACCCTTATTCTGATTAGGGATGAAAAATTATCATTCATTTCTTCAAATGCATATGAGGTTTTTAAAAATCTTTTATGTTTTGGGGGATGGACAAATTATTATTTTGAAGAGGATTTAATTAATACCTCTTTTGTTGGCAGTACATTTCTTGCTGCTTAATAGTATTCCCATTGTATTTCAGACAGAAAAGGGAGTGACTAATCAGTCTCCCTGCCATTCCCTAATTCCCCCTATATTTGTTGCCTGACACATTTGGTTCACTCAACCTATTAGTGACACTGATCCGATTTGTTGACAAATACAATGGCATCATCCAGCTAAGAGTTCTTTAAATTGTGACCCTCCATCCTTTACATGAGAAGATGTAAGTGTGGTGGCCGAGAATTTGGAGTGATGGCTCTAATGCTGGGAAAGGTATAAGGAAAGAAGAGGATGACCAGCAGCAAGATGGATTGACTCAGATATGGTGGCCATGAATGCATCATTGGAAGACTCCAAAAGCCAGTTTAGGGATAGATCACCACAGAGAAGAGCTGTCTACGTGGTCACTAGGAGTCAAAACAACTTTATGGCACTCTCAAAATCTATCAGTGATGGCAAATCCTCAATTCAAATCTCATCTTTGTGAAGCAATTTCCTAAAGTAAGCTTAAGGCCACTTGCTAGTCCTTTACTTTTGTCTGCAAAAGGACAGTAATAGGAGCATACACCAACTTTATTGATTCACTTGGAGCCTGGACCTGCTTCCTCTGCTCCAGCTGTTTCTCTTATTGTTGGGTTTCCAAGGCTCTGGATGATCTTTTGCTGTCCATGTCAGGAGGTCCATTCTGGCTAATTTTGAGTCCTGATGGAATTGTCTCTCATATACACCATGTCCTACCAAATCATTTCCAAAAAGCATATTATATGGGCAGTTTCCATTATCACATGTACTAATTTATTCCCACCTTAATAGACGTGGTCAATTTTTTTTTACAGTTCTCCAGAAAATGCTCTAGATCCTCACCTTGTATTCTGAAAACTTAACACCCTTCTTGGGATCTGCTAGAGCAATTGGACTGGTTGTCCCAAAGCTGCTTTTCTAAAAGGCAACTGGACTTTCTTGGGTTTTTCTTTGAAAACATTTCGCTTCTCATCCAAGAAACATTTTCAGTTCAGAAATGAAGACGCATCTTCAATGAAAAGCGAAAAGCACCCTTGGGACAAGCATGACCTGGATGACTGAGGATCTCTATAGACATTGAATTGGTTTTGGAAGAGGACATCCACTGTTCAGTCTCCCAATTAAAGAGAAAAAGGAAAAAGGGAGGCTTATGTGTTCCAGCATCAATAGTAATTTTTCTCTCTTCTCCCAATTTTTCTCTTTCTCCACTCTGGATTGCCACTTTACACTTATCCCATTACCTCATTATGGAGTGAGCAGGGCTGAGACCACAAGGTAGCTGATTGGAAGTCTCATCCATCCTTTTCTAGACACCTTTTGGGTCTGCCCTCACTGACCTTGCATCCTGTTCAGAATAGCAGTTTCTGCTGTCACCACCTGTCTTCCAAGGGAATGCTTCTTTTGATGTCCTTCCCTTATCTCCAAATAGTGAGGTGGGGAGGGGGAAGGTTCCCACACCCTGTTGGATTTTTGGTGAATAAAGAGATAAGCACACATAGAAGAATTGAACATTTAATTTACCTTGTTTTCTTAAAGTTCACCTGAATCTCAAAACAAAGTTGTCCATTTTTTTCCCATCCTACTTCCCCCAGCCTCTCACAGTATTTCAGCCATTCATAAAGTTGTTGTTTTTTATTTAAAAAGTTTTAACAATCATTGCAACAATTCCCCCCCCCTTCCAACCCCCTCTCCCCCCTCTCCCTCCAACCCCCCTCCCCCCCAAGACCCTCCCACCCCCGGACTTCCCAGAGCAAAAACAGGGTATAGCATAACAAACATAAGCTAAAATAAGCTACCTTTCTGTGGTCTCCAAACTCCCCCTTGCTCTTTAACTCCCCCTTCAACTAACTAAACATATTCAAAAAGGAAATATGGATTTCATTCATAAACTATTTGTAATTTTTAGTCCGATATTTGTTTTGAATATAGTCAATCCATCTTCTCCATTCCAATATATATCTTTCATTTGAATGGTCCTTCAAATAGCTGAAATTTTAGCCATCTCTTTTAGTGTCCATGTAGGCAAGTCCTCCTTCTTCCAGTACTGTGCCACCAAGAGTTTGGCTGCTGTTATTAAATTTAAAATCAACTTAGTCTCTATAACAGTACAGTCTGTAATTATGCCTAACAGAAAGAACTGTGGAGTAAATTTTATATTCTTTTTGAGAATATTTTGAATAATCCACCATATTTTTATCCAAAATGCCTTAATTTTTTTACATGTCCACCATATATGATAATACGTAGCATCATCACATTCACATCTCCAACACTTAGGTTGCACACTTGGATACATACAGGCTAGCTTTTTAGGATCCAGATGCCATCTATAAAACATTTTATAAAAATTCTCTCTTAAATTTTGGGCTTGCGTGAACTTCACATTTCTAACCCATATTTTTTCCCATGTTTCCATCATTATTGGTTCTTCAATATTTTGTGCTCACTTTATCATACAGTCCTTAACGAACTCTGTTTCTGAATCTATTTCTAGCAATGCATTATACAACCTTTTTATATGCATTTGACTTCGATCTCTAATCTGTTTTACCAAGTTCTCCTCATTTTGCAGAAAACCAATTTTCTGATCTTCTCTCCATCTAGCTTGCAACTGTACATATTGAAACCATGTTCGAATTGTCCTTTCTTCTCTTAGTTGATTGAGAGATTTTAATTGTAGTATGCCTCTTTCCTTATTAAGAATCTCTTTATATGTAATCACATCCTGCCTTTGCTCTACATTGCTTCATAAACTTGTTGGGGGGATGATATACCCTGCTTGGGCTCAGCAACATCCTTCCCTATTTTGCTGGAGTTCTAGCTCTGATTTTAAAAGAACAAAGTTTTTTCCTATCCAGGGCTGTTTTTTGCCTTTGCTTTCAATGAAAGAAGTCATACTTTCCCCAGTGTTGATTCTGCTTGGGATGAAAAAATGAGTGTTTTTCCTTTCTTCCTT